TATAGTTCATCGGGTAGTACGCCCTTTGGACGGGGTCAAACATCCACGGTGTCCAATACAACTGCATAACCAATCGAGCCGGTGACCACTGCTACAACCAGAAAAGTGTAGGTGGATGTGGTTCATACACATCTTGGTTGATTTGGAATTAGGGTTTTTTGCCAGCTACCTTAGGCGAAATACCAGTGGCTCACCGATCCGTCTATAGCCCCGTTGTTTACTTTTCGTCCTCTCACTTTGGTGGGAAACAACTTGCTCCACGAGAAGGCAGTAAGTGGAGTTTCCTCAACATAGGCTGTTTGAGATGTTGGATCGTATAGGAGCATTCAGCGAGGTGCAAGGGAAAGGTGACCAGCCACAACCTGACGCCCACCCAGGCGACCATAGTCCTCTATTAGAGACTATTGTTCGCATCTATAGAATATCAATTGGCTCCTACCTTGTTCTTATAATAGTAACGATAATGCTATGGTTGGCTGCTTTCACCTTCCTTGAAATGGTATCGATGTATTTCAGTAAAAGGAACAGAAATAAAAGAGAATACTGTCTGTGTGCATTGGAGTGTAAATTAGTATTCAATGGAACGTTCCAATCTTGCGCCAATACCTTCGTTACCGGAAGTAAGGCACCACATGGTTGCACACAAGCCCATGTTTGCCATTCGTTTGCCTTACCTCCATGTCGTAACACAGATCGCTTTCTCAGCTGCCTTCCCGAATTCAATATATTAATTACACTAAGGATAGTCCTTTTATAGTTACTACAGATACGTCAAATAATTAGTTTCATTTGACAGATAGTTATGTTTCTCTGAATGCCACTGCCTATCTGAAGAATTGTTTAGCGAACTGATTAGATCTTCGTTTTGCATCCAAATGCACAGATATGGCGGCAGTGTCTCGCATTCTGATCAGCCCACGTTTCACTCCATTTCCCGGTGCCTCAGAGCTCTAAGTTGTTTGATTGTAAAAACTGCCTTGAGAAAGGTTACCCACGGCAACCGAAACGTCGGCGAATATAATTCTCGACCGACATCGCTGTGCTATTAACATTATAACCTTCACAATAAAACAACACATGTCGCATAGATTTTTCAACACACTCCTAACATCATTTGGCCCTGATGTGTTGAACATGTTTCCTTATTCCAAACCTCAGGGTTTATGTGGCCTTTTTTACCGAGCAATAAGCTTCTGGAAAAACCCTTTCACGTTCTATCACAGTGAGATAGCCATCTTCCTGCCAGGGTTACTCGGATAATGGAAATGGTGCTCAGCTGAAGCGGC